ATTTTTTCATTGTGGTGATATTCCCAGAATTTAACGTAATCAGAGATGCTTTTTTTCGAAGTCAAATAGAAAATTATTTAATATTATTTCCAATGCGTTTTATAGAGACGGCAATTCAGTCAGCCACAGAAATTGAGAAAAATAATAAGTACAAAAATTTAAATAATATTCTTAGTGGTCTTACTGCGTTAATTGAAAAAAAATTATACATCTTATATATATATATATATATATTAGATATATTTAAAAAAGTTGCTCTGATGGCCGAGTACTGTGGGTCTAACTCTCTGGTGCTCTGTACTGCAGGTTTCGGGTTCGAGTCCCAGTGGTGCCGGAGATATTTGTAGTGGTTAGGAATCCACTTTAAACCACAGTTCCTGATCTAATAGGATTGCAAAATGTAATGAGGGTAGTGTTACTCGCGTCAGTATAATATCTTCAAGCTACACGTGCCACCTGGGTAGTGCTAAATGAGTAACAGCGATGCAGCCCTTGCTTACGTCATGAAGATTAACTGTCTCTGCATTGCCAGCTGCATTAGAACAACAACATATACATAGTCACATTACATTCTATATTATATATACTACAAAATGTGTATCATCAGTGAGCCAAAAGTGATATGTTTCATCATAAAAAAATCATTTAAAATTACCCTGGAATAACCTAGTCTATTTAATATGTTATAATTTCTTCTCGTTCATTTCAAGTGGAAACGTTTCGTTTCTGTCATATATGTTAAAAAGTATAACTAAATATTTTCAAAACAGACAACGAATTTTTCAACAAATTTACGTCAAGTACTGCATTTTGTTAAATATTTGGCAAAATATAGCACATCCATTTTGGGATGAAATGTTCTAAGACTCTTACCCATGCAAAATGATACAGAATGTCTTTCCGAGTACCCGATCTCCTTTTCTTTGCCTCTGCTACACCCAAGTAAAACATCTCTCCATCCGAAAGTAATAATCTCGTAAACCATCTCCTCCAAATCACTCCCAAGACCCATGGAAATCCTGATTTTCTTCTAGTGATTGCATCAGGCCAGCCTGATTTTCTCGCTGCCTGTTTGCGAGAGAGAGCCCCGCTAATGAGTCCTCCCATGCTCCGATTCCCAGCGTGCATCTTACGGAGAAGTCCCAAATCCGTTTCGCGGCGGCATGGATGCAGACTAATTGAAATCCTCATCAAGAAAGATCCAGCAGCAATCCAATCTTATCTAATTATGATGGGTGTGCTTTTTTTCTTTCTTCTTTCTTTTTTGGTTTGTAATGTAGTCAAAGAAATAGAGTGTGAATATTTTTTCATTGTGATCATTTCTGGAATTTAACGTCTTCAGAGATTTTTTCTAAGTCAAACGGAAAATTATTTAATATTTTTTTTTCTATTGCGTTTTATAGAGATAGCAATTCAAAGAGTCAGAGAAATTGAGAAAAATAATAAATGCAAGCATATAAATAATATTATTGGTTGTCTTACAGCGTTAAATGGAAATAGTCATACATTCCATATATATAGTGTCTTGTCTTAGAGGCTTTCGGACTCTATATATGAAATAGATCCTGTTCTATTTGTCAAGAAATTAGTCTCCAATGCTTCACAAAATTAAATTAAAAGTCTCATAGGAGAGCCTTGTGTTGAATATGACTTATTATACCATGACGTATGCAACCCATACACGAGTAGAGCGATAATTTCAATATTTCAATATTTCGATAACCACATTTCGTTAATTCGACTTTTCATTTTGTGCAACAATATCTTGAATAAGAAAGCTATAATCTGTCAACTAAGTTCAAAAAATGGCTTGTTAAAAAATGTTGTTTTAAAAATTTTTTAAATACAATAACATAATTTTCTTCATAACATTTTTTTTTTTATTATAATGTACATAGTAATTATTATGTATTTGATAGAAAGGATGAAGGATATGGTTTTAAAAAATTAGGAGTAACACCTCACATTTGTGCTGTACAAATTTTACATAATAATTTGTATCGTTGTTTATTGGTAGGATTTATTTCCACTTTATTTCACGAACAGCGAATAGAAGGGGAAAGGGTATTTGAAGAGGGGAGAAAATTTCGGGATGAATTCAATGGATAATTAACCCTATGGATAACAATATTTGTTGACTATAATAATAACAATATTATAATAATATAATAACAATAATAATAGTATAATAATTCTATTTGTTATTATACTAGCTAGGGATAACAATATTTGTTGTTCGTATGGAATTTTTATGCATTAGTTTTGACCACTGCAACATTTTTTATTGGGAGCATTCTTCGTTGAATCATGTTTCTATTAGATATTTCAAACATCCCACTGAAAATTGATCAAAATGGAGATTTTCAAGAGAATTTTAAGAGATAATTGCCTCGAAATTTGCTACTGTAATATTCGAGGCAATTTGAATACTGTAATATTCAATCCATCTGCACAGGTTGGGCATATGGATTGAAACTGCATATCGTTGGGTCGAGACTTGAGACACATGTTTGGTAACTCACACCTTTATTTATACACGCACAAACACCACACACATATAATAATTAATATATTTAAAGACATAATTATAGTTTCGTAGTAGGATTCCATTTCTAAGCCGAAAATAAAGATACTCAGGTACGCGCTGGATGAGTGAAATATACTTCCTTTCTAGGTGAGAGTCTGTAGGCCAACTATTATGTAGGATTGGGTTGAATCTATTTCCTCTTGGGATGATAAGTTTACAAACTAAAAGTGTCTCCACAGAATTGAGGGTTGTGATGTACTTCCTCTCAGGTTGAATCTCGATGTCGTCTGACAATTTCCCCTGAACACCATGCTCTTGCAGTGCATAGGAGGAAGCACGGTTACACTAGTCATAAAAATGTTTTATACAATAATTCGGCTAATGTGTTTGTGCTCTTTGTGTTTTTAGTCATCAATGGGACTTATGTTTTCATTTTTACCATCAAGAGCCCATTGAAGTATGTGACGGAAGTGACTGTTTGATTTTATTACTTTTCATTTGTCAGTCATATGAAATTTTATATAATAATCTGAACATTTTAACGCTTTTTTGCTGTTGATTATCATTTGGTCTTATGTTCCACTTTATATTACCAGCAGTGCTGATGATGGAATATATTTCGTGGGTGATTTTAAGGGTAACTGCCTTGTATTTGCTTGTAGCATAAGAGGCAACATTGAAAACTCGCATCGGATAGCTTTATGGTTAATGACAAACGCTTACATACACGGTAAAATTCGCTATTGAATGCCTCCTTTTTTTAAAAACAATTACACCAAATGAACAAATCATTTGAATGAACACAACAAATTTTATCCTTGCTGCAAATTAGCTGCACCTGTTACTATTGGGACACAAACGAAGTAGTTTGTAAGACAGTATAAATAATTTTAAAAAAAATAGTGATTAATTATTTTATGTTTGTATTTTAATTCGCAATGATCTTTATAATATGTAGTTTATTATTATTTAATAAAATTTAAAAAAAATATTAATGGTAGCTTTTGTACATTGTAGTTGATAAGATTTATAATTTATAGATTTCTATGTTTTAAAATAATTTTTTTTTCCAAGCAAATGTATTACATCAACATTAAATAGATGCAACATTACTAAAAAGTTTTTCTTAATTATTCATCAGTTGAAAATTTTCAGCGACAGCCAGATCTCCTTTTATTTATTTTTTTTCCTTCAATATTTAAAAAAAAAAATTATGAATAATATTTTTTCTCTTATAACAACTGTTTGATTCATATAATCCCGCTTACATCTCTGTAAAGAGTAAAGATTTATTGGAAAAAATGCTCTGCACTTAAAAAGAGAAACTGAATCTTAATATGCGAAACGCATTAATGTATATTTTATAGCGTCTTTTAAAACATGTTTCATTGCAGCCTAGATTTTCTTAAAGCTCCACTTTTTTTCTAAACGTATTTTCTTTAAAGTTATTCTCTGTAAGTTGGGTTTTTTTTTTCTTATTATTTATTTTTACTTTCTGTGTATATACGCAGAGTATTTCCAAACTCCATTGACATCACGTGATCTGCTTAAGTGCTTTTGGGTATTGAAATCCCCTAAAATTTATTTCATTTTCTTTTTTTTTTTTCATTATTTATTTTTTTTATTTATTTCTTTTCAGTCTCTAACATTCTTAGCTCGTATTTATTTATTTTTTTCGTACTGTTTTCACATTTATTTTGCCTTCGTACACTTTTAAGTTCTTTTTTTTTTTTCTGTCCCAAAGAAATGGCGAAGAGTTAGAGGGGGGTTTGAAAAAAAATGGAAAGAAGAGAATTTTAGAAGATTTTTGGAACAAAAAAGCTCTTAAAGGATATCAGAAGGTAATTCATTTTTTTTTCATCCAACTCTTAAATATTTAACTTCGTTGTTGTTTCTTTTCTAATAAAAAAAAAATTAAACCAACAATATATATATGTATAGAAATTACAAAAAAAAAAAAATGCTAATCTCATTTCTATTTTATTCATTTTCGTTTTAGTAGAAATTTTTATTTATTCATTCATTATTATTGTTCTCAATAAACAGGGATTTTTTTCCCCTCAATTTTAACTATTTTTGTTGGATGGGGAAAAAAAAAAGGTGAAAATCTGTGGAATTTTTTCGTAAGTAGTAATACTTCTAGTTTGTTTTTAAATCAACGTTTCTTTCAAGTTTTTTTTTTTTTTTTATACACAGAGTTTTTCACCCGATATATTATCATGCACGTTTAAAAGCATTTGAAAGGGAGGTTTTTTTTTATGGGAAAGCAACTTAATAAACAAAAGGAAAACATTTAGGAAGGTTTAAGATGCTTAAGGAATAAATCCTAACCTGCTATAAGAAACTCTGTTTTTCAGTAAAATCATAGGATAAAAATATTTCCCATTATCCGTTTTGAAATAATGGGTTAATTGAAAAGAAATTATATTTTTTATTCATTTATAATTTTTAGCAAGCATAATTTATATTAAAGGCCTGATGGCCGAGCGACTAAGGCTGTGGTTCTCGGAGCCACAGGTTTCGGGTTCGAGTCCCGGTGGTGGCATGGATGTTTGTAGTGGTTCAGAATACACCTTAAGCCGCAGGTCCCAGTCTGATATGACTGCGGAGCGTTGGGTGTAGGTCTGACAACAATATTCCTTAAAAAAAATATCTGTCTCGAAATCTGCAATATAGTGAAAAAAAGTAGGAATTGACTTAAATTTTTTTTTATATTACTTGTTTTTATTTAAAACAATCCTGATTTAAAATTAAATATATACTTTTTTTTAAATTTTTCCTGTACACGTTAAATCCCTCGAGAATATAATTTACAGTAAAACATATTTGGTAAAAACTGCACTTTTAATATAATAAAATTTATTTTAAATTCTACTATATTGGCTAAAATAGCTTATAAATATCTTAGTAAAAAAATATATCACTACTATTGGCGATATTATTAATTATACCACATATATTTAAGCACCAAAATTTACTGAAATAAAATATAATTTTTCTTTTACTTGAAAGAAAAAATGGGCAAAGTATTTTGAATCTGATCATAATGCATATGCTAATTGTCTACGTGTCCTTGTCATGTCTATTTTGTGTGTATAAACTTTTCTGTGTAAATTGGCTATTCTTGAAATTCCTCGTTTAATTTAAACAGAACCTCTTGCTTAAAGGAGGAATTGAATAGAATGCAAATTGATCTTCAGTGATGACGACAAGGAGAATGCTTTAAAAAGCAAAATTTATCTTAAGATATTAAAAACTGATCCAGATATCAGAATTTTAAAGTTTCTGTATTTGGTATACTTTCCAATTTCCTAAAGGAGTTCATAAAACTTTTATTAAGAAGTTTTTGAAACTAATGAGTGCAAGTTAATTTCGAATGTCTTTATTTTAAAAAGTTCAAATATCATTCGTTATAATGTAACGTACTTTATTTCACAAGTTTAAAATAATATTGATGTCCTTCTAAACATTTAAGATGCAAAGTGAGAAGACGTACTTTAAAATGTGGCTTCTCAATTCGTTGTGACAATTCGTAAAAGTCTAAAACAGAATTTATTAAAATTAATGAGAGCAAGAAATTTTAACTGCCATCATTTTGAAAGGTTCAAGGATCATTCGTTATTATGTAAAAGACCTCATTTCACAAGCTTAGAATAATATTGATGTCATTCAACAATAAAGGGCCAAAGTGGCCTACTTTAAAATGTAGCTTCTCACTTTGCTGTAAGAATTCGTAAAAATTTTAAAACAAAAATTTAAAAATTAAAAACTCATTATAACTAATGAGTGCAAGTTAGTTCCGGATGTCCTCATTTCTGAAAAACCAATGATTATTCGTTATTGTATTTTATTTTAAACGCTTATAGTTATATTGCGTCATTCTGAAGAGTAAAACTACAAACTGGGAACACATATGTTTTGAATGATACACTTGTAACTTCCAAAGTTGCTATAAGCACTCCTAGAAATTTTAAAATGGAAACCATTGAAATCAATAAAGTCAAGGTAGTGTTGGATATCATCATTTCTAAAGAACCAACGAACATTCATTATTCTCTATTTCAAATGATTAGAATAGTTATTGTCATTCTGAAAATAAAAGCCTAAAACTGCAGTAACATATATTAAAATTGTACATATATAGTACAGGTGTGTAAGAATATTTTTGTGTCGTCTTGAAAAGTCTATTAATAAATGCAAGACATTTACAGATATAGCTATTAAATATACACCTAGCGGGAGTGTTAGGGAAGATATTTATTCGCCTGGTTTCAAGAATCATTCCCAAATACTTCTTCTGCTTAGATAATGCAATTTCGAGTACATCAATTCTAATTTCGGTAGGGGAACAGGTGGTGCTTTTTCTAAAATACAGTACTGATTTAGTTTTTCAGCATTAAATTTAAATTTCTGTCTCAAAAACCAAGCTTTATGAACATTAATATATTTTTGAAGGTGGTATTAGATGTCTCAGTATTTTGGATTTGAATAATAATGATTTTATTGTTTGCTTACATAATAAATTAAACTTTTCAAAAGAGGCATTCTTGAACAACAACTGTTAAAATTGTTATTTTAAAGGAATCAGTATTATTGAAGCAATCGTAATTTTTGTTTTATTCAGTTACAGTTTGCAATACTATTCGTATTTTTAACTGTTTATATTGCTTATATAAACTATTAAATAGTTCTGATGAACAGCAGAAGAGATTTTTTTTTACTTCAATTTCTGATTGTGTTCGACAATATTTATTTAGTTATAACTAAAAATGAGCATCCTTAATAGGATATACATAAATGGAAGATCATTTATTATAATGTTTTGTAATATATTACACACTATAGATTAAGATGTAATAAATAATTATTATTACCAATAATTTTTATGTAGCATATAACATTTCAATACAAAATAATGGTAGTTTGAGGATCTGCATAAGGATTTAAGAACAAATAGGTCAGATATAAATGAAATATCATTTATTACAATACATTTTAATACATTACGTATAGGTATCGTAATAATCATTTATTACGATACCTATAATTATTATACAGTATAATGTAATAAATTATAATTCATTTATATCTGATCTATTTGTTCCTAAATGCTTATGCAAAACCATCATGCGTAGTTTTAATTATTTTGTATTGAAAGACTATAAGCTACATAATAATTATTTGGTAATAAAATGTATCTTCGCAATTTCAGTTTAGAGAGTTCCTATTTGAGTCTAAATATCTTCTCACAGACTATAGTTTTAACTATTTATTAATTACTCTGGAAGATGAAGTAGTTAACTATCAAAAGCCATTGCTCGTTAACCCCGACGGCTATTTATAAACCATAGCCAGACCATTTATGCAGATACCATCCTTACCATTAGCGGCACAACTGAACATTACCTTTCAGCAAACATTCACTACTTCGCGGTTCCAGTTAAAGGTAATTAGGAAATCCATACTAAAAGTTTAAATGCTGTTCTGGAAAGTTTTGCACACATTCCCTCTTCCTAATAAATCCCCATCTGCACACATCAATTTCCTGACTAACTTCCCCCTGATATGAAGTGCATTAAACACGTTGACCCACGAAATACCAGAGGATATTGGTCCGTTCGTCCAAGCCACGTGCTTTTAATAAGATAGTAATTTATAAAGCATTAAATTTGCCCAATTTAAAGCACTTCCCTCCTCAATAATACCTGCAAGACGCTATTCAGGGCCCATTAGGGAAGTCATTACACTGCGCATAAAGATGGGGTGTACAACATGGGACTTTCGCAATGGGTCTTGGGTTACCGTTCCTAAGTAATTAATTGGTGAATGCAGATAATTGATACACCAATGAAAATGCTTCTGAGGTAGGGTTGGTTACGGATGTGGTATTGGCGAATGCTTTAATAGCCTTTTATTTACGAATGCATTTGAAATGGGTTCGGCAATTATTTGGTATTGTGATTTATATCTACATAATTAGAAATTTATTAAGTAATTAAATTTTGATTAAACTCGATTTTTGGAACAATAAACAATTAAGCATCTTTTAATGATCACAGACTGAAATTAACTTGAGGAAGATTCGTATTGTTTATGATAATTAACATTTCAATTATTTAAGTCCATGAATTATTCTAAGTGATCTTCTCTTTACTTAATAGATCTCATAATTTATAGTGATGAGTGATACAATATCTTTAATAAAAAATTGAAGTGATATTAAATAAACAATATAAAAATTATTGCAATTTAAAATATATTTGTAAAGAAGTACTTTTTTTAAGCAAATAAAAAATTTTCAAATGAATTTTTTTCAACATTTGAAATAATATATTAAAATCGGGTAAAACTACCATTCATATAATTTGTGGACTGAAAAAAGTACAAGAAAAGTTATTTAAAGAGACTTCAGTTATTTCAATTTTCAATCAATTAAAAAAAAAAACAATATATATAATAATACTATATGTATAAAAATAATTCAAATTATCATTAATCGAGTAATAAAATATGCAATGAAATATTATTGGTATAAATTTCAAATTAATTTATTTTATAATATATACTAAAAAATAATTTTTAAATATAAAAAATATAATGAATAAAAATATACGGTCTTCTAATTAAGTTGTTGGAGTCTGTAATTTTAAAATAAAATAATCAGTCAAACATATTATCAAAAAAATAAGAATTTTTTTTCATTGAGTTATAAAAAATTTATGAACAAGTTTTTTTTTTTTTTTTTTTATCATATACCAAATCATGAAAATTTTTAATGTACAAACAATCACCCATTGTCGTACAACTCATTAATTCATTATCCCAGTAATGTTTCAGCTCAACTTCATCATTATTGTAATGCAACTCATCAATTATTTTAAAATATATCACTTAATAATAAATTCCTTTACACAATACATTTTATAAATTTTTTTGTATACTATAATTGAAATATTTAATACAAATGACTTTTATAATTAAATTAAAAATAAAAAAATTTTAAATGTTTATTAACATGAATGTAAAACAGTTTGGAAAAATTTATTCTTAAATGTTTTCATTCTAATAAATATTAATTATTTTTTAAACGAATCCTTATAAAATATACATTATTTCTTTTTTAATTAAATATAGAAATTAAAATTTATTTTTGCTTAAAGTCAAAATTGTGCTTTATTTTTGCTTTTAGTCAAAATTTTAAGAATTTATTTCAATAAACACTAAAAAGTAGAAAGGCGTACATTAAAAAATTTCCGGAATTCTGATGTAAAAAACAAATTATTCAAAAACTCTTTTTTTCTTATTTTAATACATTTAACATATAATTAATTTGAATATTTTTATCTGATTTATTACAAAATAAAAAACTCGACTCAAAAATATATTTTTTTTTCAATTTTTCACAAAGCACTACGAACAATTTTTCGGAAACAGATCATTATCAACGTTAAAAGAGAAAATATTACAAATTAAAATTTATTTTTGAATAAAAATCTCATATGAATCAATATCAAAATTTTAAGAACCAATTTTAATAAAGCACTA